CCGTGTTTGAGAACTTTTAAAATAGAAGACTGTTTGTCTCCCTTTGAAATATTCCTGTTTTGCAAAATTTAGCTAACCCAAGCTGAGGCAGTTTACAGTGCGAAATAAGGCAATGATAGACCAAGAATTACTGAATTTGCTAGGTTCTCTATATGTATTCTTTAAATTGCACAGAGGGACAACTGTGAGGGAGTTGTGGGAGTTTGTTTTTGTTGTGTTTTGTTGGTTTTGAGTTGTGTTTTACTTTTAAAATTTACTTTTTAAGTTTTTAATATCCATGTTCCCAAACAGCACATCCATGAAACATTATTGCTACTTTGAAAGGCATTAAGGAGAGGGAAGTGTTTGTTCCCTTCCACGGCTTTTGCATTTCTAGATTATTGTTTTAATATGCTTCAACAAAGAGATGCTTTTATTGACTTAATACACTGACATTCTTATCCTCAACAAAATATATTTTTTTAAAGGCAATAGGTTTGCTGAAAGTGTTGCTGAGTGAGGTCTACAATAATTTTGCAGATGTAAATACCTTTAAACAGTCTATTTACAAAAAATGATGGGCACTTCTGCATCTAGTCTTTTTGGTAAAGTTTTTCATTCCACATTGGTGTATGTTTCTCTTCGATATGCTATTTATTTGCTTATTATAARTGAAATATCTTTTAGTATTCAAGAATTGCCAGTAGCTGTCATTTCCACAATGCATGGTACTCTCTATTTTTTTCTCTCAAATTGTTATGTACTCAGTAAATTAAATGTACTCAGTGAATTAGATATGCCTACTTTATTTCTGGAGAGTTTATGTGGCTGGATTTCTAAAAGTAAATGTAATGCTAATAAAGTAAGTAAAATATAGGTACCAGTCAAGTGCCTTTTCCCATTCTTCCCCTTCAGTTTTCCCAGCTCTGCCCCAAAAGCTCCCCTGCCACAGGAAGAAAGGGAACCATGCTCCTGCTTCCTCTGGTTAGCTGCCCCTCGGCTTACAGTGAGCACAAGGAAACGCCACTGGCTGCTGGTGGTTTTGTGGCAGGGGATAACACAGCTCAGATTAGGTCTTTTCTGTTCCAGCAGCTTGCCTTGTTCTTATTTAAGATCTTATTTTAAACTGCTATAATTAAACCACTGCAAGACTGAATAGCTTTTCTTGTTCTGGGGACAAGAAGGCAAGATTGAGTGTAAATTGCTTATTTCAGATCTGTTTGAGATGCATCTAAACCAGCTCAAACAACTGTTATGCCGTATTCAAAATGCAGATCTGAATTGCTTTAACCCAAGAGATATACATAAATCGATATAGTTGAAGCAGATTGGTTAAGGCTTTCATTTAACATGCTATTATTTATGCAAAGTGGAGCAGCTCCAAAAGGAGACATTTAGTGAGAGCAGGTCAATGGTGCAGCAGTTAGAGAAATCATTATGATAAGGGAGACTTACTCGAGTCCCTACTCAATTATTTTAGATTTTTCACCTCCTGGGAGTACTGTATCCAGCATCCTGRTGGGTATACTGCTGAGCTTGTGAGGCAACTTATATCACCATGGAAAGTTTCAATTCCAGAGCGCATTTCCGATCTAAGAACAAACCACATTCCTGGTCTGTTCTACTTGCTGGATTTGCCCTTCCTCCAGTTGCATGCAGGGAATAGTAGTGTTATCCTTTCTCCCTCTGCCACCCTGAGCACTTCCGCTTGATGAGTCCTCTGGTCTTGGTCACACTGCAAAAGGAAGTGCTGTCCATGTCCTCACTAAATGCATCAGTGCTATTCTTTTTATTTAAATATGCTATATAGTTTCCGCAGTGCGTGATACTCTCTATTTTTTTCTCTCAAATTGTTATGGAGCATTACTGTTAAATAGCTAACCTTTCTGCCTTAAAAATGGGTAAGTGGTGCTTACTGGTATTCTTCCCCCCTCAGAAATACTGTGAGGCTGAATTATTTGGAAAACCCTTTGAGATCCTTTTGTTGCTGGCCAAGGTGCTGCAAAATTGCTGAATGCTTTTATTTTATCTACTAGTCCCATTATGCTTCTCTTTTACTTACTTACAATCTATAAAGTTGTTTAAAGGTCACTCTGCTGGAGCCGCTCCTTGCATACAGGGCATTGATCTTCCCGTTCCTGCGGCGCCCAAGCCCGCTGCRAGCTCTCCATTTCCATAGCGATGTGCTTAGCAATAGTTACCATGTGCTGGACTAATTTCACATTCTAGGTAGGGCGCACTCAGCTTCCAGCCTCGATTCGATTCTTTAATAGAGTCAGGTCTATTCAAATAGCTCCRTTCTCTTCATTCCTGTTGTCAGGTAATGCTGGGGTTTTCTTTGTTTTGTTGCAACTTTCTGAAGGAAAATGAATTTCTCCCCTTTCTGTTGTTCAAGACAGAGATTATTTTTTTGTTAACTGTAAACAAATGATGTTATTCTCACCTACACTGAGACAACTTTCTTAACTTCCCCCTGCCCCTAACTAGCTAATGCTGTCAAAGCCCCTGCGTTGTGTCCATATGCAGTCTCGCTGCTGCTCRGAAGTAGCTGTGACTATCCCCTATGCCTAGAGGCTGCCAAGTAAATGGAGTCAGTGCTGACAGTCCTTGAGTTCATTCCTGTTTTTCCCCATGGAATTTGGAAGGATGAGAAAGCAGCCCAGCTGTGAAACTCAGGGCAGCACAGGAGCTGTGGGAAGCATTCCCTGGCAACCTCCTCCATACCTGCAGTGCACATAGGCTTTTCTGTGTGCCACCTGGCCTCAGCCCTGGCCGAGTTACATGTGCCTAGCAAACTAGAGCTCAATTGATGAGCCTAAAGAATTGCTCTTAATTTCAGCAAGCATTTTTAAGCTACAGGTTGCATCTGTTCACTTGGTGCCTCTGACTTTTCAAATGCAAACATCATTGACTCTTACACTTCTGAAGTACTGCTTCTATGCRCAGCATGAAAAGAGGTGCTCTCTTACTCTTGCATATGCAGTATTTACTTCAGCTAGAGAAATATGTGAATAGGACTGGTAAGCACAATTAAGCATGGGGAGTTCCCTTACAAGAAACCAGTTCTCTGTGTAATTTATTGCAGAGAGAGTGGAATTCTTAAATGTTGCTTCATAATAAATGCCACTTGCACTTCAGAGCACAAATTTAAATGAAAGAGTTATTAAAAACACTGAGCAGGGATAAAGCACTGGCATGAGTTCATGGGTCCCTTGTTCAGAGAACATAGGAGCTGTTTATTGGGAAATAACCCTTACCTGTCTTGTGACAGGTAAAAAGCCCTTGTATTTACAAGATAAAAACTAAAGTAGTAGCAAATAYTGGAGAACCTGAGACTGGGAAAGACTGGCTGAGTGAGGGGCTAAGAGCTGTAGGAATGACAAAGTAAGAATTCGTCACTGCATATTATTGATGGTTAAGCCAAACAAATATGAACATACAGTGTTTGAATGATTGAATGACAACATTGCTCTGTGCTTAATTGGAATGGGCATGTGTGTAAACACCGCCTATACATTGCTAAAGGACATTTTCTATTCTATTCTCTCACATTTAAAAATCTCTTGTATTTATCACTATGAAAAATTAAATGTAAGCTAAATGATTTATKTATTATGTTTCATTTTTTCYTCTCATAATTGTGTAAAATGCTTCCAAAAACCTTTCCTGGGAGAGTTCAGCGCTCTTGCACTGTAACATGGCTAGTAGGCCATAAAGTGACTTGTCAGCATTCATGTGCCAGTGGTAAATAGAAGGTGTATTGGAATCTTTATGTGGTATTGGCAGGAAAAAGAGTGATAGTGAAGGAATAAAGGAAAAAGTGACTTGCATTTGCTGTTTGCTTGTGTGACAGTTCATGAGCTAGATGAAGTCTAAATTACAATTCCTCTATCCTTCGAAGATCTCCAACTGTTTATTTGCAGCAGGACTTACGTCCAGGCCTCAATAATGTTATCATTCAGCAGCAGATGCAGCTTTAAAACTATTTACAGAGTTTATTCATCCGTGCAGGTATTAAGTGAATCTGGAGTCCATAACAAGGAATTTTCAAAGTTTTCATAACGTTGGCTAGACTTGGTTATTTTTTTTTTTTTTTTTTTTTTTGTAGTACTATGTAGACCTGTATGCTGATTTTTTTTAATAATTCTGTTTCTAACAAAGTGTCAAATATATTAAAAGACTTGGAATGGCTTGAGAAAGCTATTTTTCAAAACTATTTTTTGATTTTAAGCTATGTTTGACTTAAAAATACATTTGATCAGAATAAGCAGAAAATGTTGTTTTTCTGCATGGTAAACAAATAAAAGAAGTCCAGCCTTTTATATTGCCAAATCTTTTTTAAAGGTCTTTAAATTCTAAAACAAGCTAGGTTTCTCAATAACATTTTTTTTCTCCATCATAAAATGAGGTTCAGTTGAAGCAGAACAGTTAGCAAATGAACAGGTGTTTTGTCAAGATTGGGATTTCTGGTAAGTCAGCATTACAGATTTCCTATTCTGGGGGAGTCAGTGGCTGTTCCACTATGGCTCTGTCTTTCCTGCAATGTATTTGCAGTAGTACTGCCCTTATTCACAATGTAACTAATGAAAAATAAAGTGATCAAGACCTTTATTTCTGAGACTCTCAGAATGACAGAATAGTTGGGGTTAGAAGGAACCTCAAGGGATCGTCTAGTTCAACAGCCCTGCTCAAATCAGGGTTATTTGGAGCAGGTTGCTTAGGGCTGATTCCATTCTCAGTCTTCTCTTCTCCAGATTGACCAGTCCCAGCTCTCTCAGAGTCTTCTCATATGTCTGGTGCTCCAGGCATTAGTGATACAGCCCTTCATTGGATTCACTCCAGCGGCACCAGCCCCAGCTCTCCAGGTGTGGCCTCACCAGGGCTGAGCAGAGGGGAGGGATCATCTCCCTAACCAACTGACACCACTTTTCCTGATTGAGCTCAGGTTGCTGCTGACCTTCATCTAGATTAAAAGAGTTTGTGATACAGGCCCCTCTTAGTTCATGACAGGTGTTTCAGCTTCACTCTTTCCAGCTGAGTCCTGTGGCCACTGGCTTCTTGAGCATGTGAAGGTGGGTGTCTTTTCTTAGTGTGCTGTAGTTTATTTGTGCTAATATGTGTGGCAAAAAAGTGCATCTTTACATTTGTCCCAGTTCCAAAGCAATGTTAAGTCATTCTCTTAGTGGCCTGTTGAATATTTAATTATTAATAATTAAATTGATTGTTCAGATATTTAATTTATTAGCCCTTGCTGTCTGTATTGCACAAAAAAGCACATTCTTTACTTAGATAGTTTATCAGTCAATGATCTAAGTATATGTGTGCATTTGTGTTTAATTATATTGAAGTATATCCCTCTTGATGAATTTACAGCCTTTTTCTAATAGTAAGTTCTACCAATGTACCTTCAGAAAAGTTTCTCAGAAAAGAAGCCAGTATGTATACTAACCACCATGAGGTCAACTTCATGTTTTAAGCTTATAAAATTATCATGTTAAAAAATACAGAGCTACATTTGTGCTTGCTGTTGAAGTTGCTTAGACTTTGCAAAATTGTCCCTTCCGCTTTGCTCAGTTCCACCTCTGCTGACATCCTTGTCCATACAAGAGATAAAATAAGAATGAAGAGATTTGTCTTTTTTCTTCTGTGTGCACATGAGAGCTTTCTCTTGCACATCTTGTCAGCAGAATCTCCTTTTCTGTACTCTCGATGTTGTTAATTATGTTCTATTTTAAAGTCTCAGATATTTTTTTTTTCCCTTTCTTCCTGTACTTTTTAATTACTGTCTGTCTTTTCYATGTTTTAACTCTCAGGAGTTTTGGGATAAGTCGTATGTACTTAAAATGAAAAAATAGTATAAATGGAGGTCATTCTGCTGTGACTTGAAACAACATCCTCTTATGAAATAGTGGCTATTGGATATGCAGTTCTGCTTCTCCAGAGAGAAAAATCTCTTAGAAAAATACAGTTGGAAAAGAGAAAAAATACCAAACACATACTCGTCTTATACTTTAGGATTTAAGACTATATATGTAAGCTACTCTATATGTAGCTAAACTCTGTATGTAATATATTTTCAGTGTAAGTTCAGAATGGAATTGTAGGGAGTTACCTGTAGTTAAAACTTTCACTTTAAAATAAAGTGAAGGTAAAGTTTAAATAAAATTCTCTGATTAATCAGTATAATCTGAAATCTTTGTTTTATCTTTCTTAGTTGTTTCCTTTTCCAAAACCTGTATTCCTAAAGACAGACACTCCTGATTCTATACTTTCATATTTCAGCATCCTGATTCTATCCTTTCAATAAATAAGTTAGGGTCTTCACTGACAGTTGCAGTAAAAATTCACTGTCTTAGGCCTAGGAAACTCCTGAACAGAAAAGAACTTGATATGTGATTATTTCTTAAATCCTGAAGTATTTCTATATTTGAAATGCTTCCTGTCTCTTTTTTGTCTCAATATACTCTAGTTCAGTGGCTCTTAAAGTCTGATTTCATGACACAAATCTTTGGTTCTGTCAGTTTATTTATAAGTAGCTGCAGCCAGATACATTAAAGCATCTACAGCTGCGTTTCTTTTCTTGGGCGTTTCTATCCAGTGTTAGTGAAGGTCTCTAAAGGTTTAGTTTGATCTGGGCTGACCCAGCTTGAGATACCCATTCATCCATTTTGTATGGCAGTCATTCTCTTCCCTTGCTGAAAGTCTAAGAATGTAAAAGCAGCATCTCAACTGACACCTCCTATGTAGTATATACATTTCTGTCTTTATGCTGGAGGTGGTCTGGCTTGTGTGTTTTTTTTTTTTTTTTTTTTTTTTTTACAAGGCATAACTACAGTAAATGGTAAGTTGATTACAGCAATCTTCATTAAAAAGGAGCATGCTTCAGTAGTGGAGTTGGTGATGTTTTCTCTAAACAGCTCTGTAAAGGTGACCTAGATATGGTTTCCACGGTAGTAAGATGTGCTGTAGGCTAGTGATGAGCTCCGAGGAGGCTCCAGAAGGCTGCTTAAAATGCAAGCACATTTGAGAGTGACTTTCAAATGCCTCTCCAAACCTGGTGACATTTTGGGGGAGACTGTCAGTCCTTTGGCAGAGGAGCCAGTGCTCTTTCTCAGCCCAGGGCATGGCAGATGTTTCTGCATAAACAAGGAGCAGCCCTGGATTCTCTCACCATGCCTGGAGTGGCTGACGGGCAGGGCTGCAGTGCCTTGACAAGAGAGCAGGCAGCTCTGATGCACTTGTACTGGGAATATACAGGAGATTTATTGCTCATATTAATTAAGAAATCTCCCATGAGCATTGTATGTTTTCTTTTTAAAAGTGACATTTCTAAAATATATGGTAGGATTAAGATCAAGTCTTCTTGCCCCCTTCYTCCCTCTCTCCTGTAATCCCACCCTTCCCAATTTTTTCAGAGATATAAAATGCTGAAATGCTTCATGGTATGCTGGACCTTTATTTTATTTCCCTTGTAGTTATAAGCAAAATCTATGAAAAATAATTGGCAAAGCAGAACTATAAAACAATGAAGCTTTCTTAAGTAAAAGAACATTTCTAACTAGAAAAGAACAAATTCTGTGATCTGAACACCCTTTGGCTTTGCAGTGAGCATGTGGGTGAGAACACTTCAAGGCCGATCATTTTTCAATGTCATCCTACAGTCCTTGCGTACTTCTTGACAAAGATAAGTTATCTCATACTTCTTTGAAGCACAATCATAAAATACTCATTTAAAATGTACTCTGCGTTGTGCTCTCGCAAGTAGCATTCACCCTAGTACAAGGAACGCGGAGAGGCCAGTGTGGCAGGATAGCCGCTCGGCTGCCCAGCATCAGGCCTTGCTGCTGGTCACCTGCTACAAGTCTGTAAGGAAGAGGAGCCCTCAGCAGGAGCTGTATTTGTGGACTTATCTAGATAAATTAGAATGTAAATGTGTGCTACTGTGTGCTGTGTAAAGCCTAACACATACTGAGCTCACTGAATGTGATGCTCTCTAAAACACTATGGCTCACTCTAGACTGGTGAGCACAAATTGTCATTTGGTATCAGCCTTGTACTGCTTTTTAACTAGTTATGTACCTGGAGCCAATTTCCTTCTGCTCCATTCCTGGGAGATGGCTAGGGATGATTCTGCTGGTGCACTATAAAAGAACCAAGAAAGCAAGAGACAAACATGACAGAAATACTGAAAATCCAGGCCCTTTGAAAGTAAAATAAAATTCAGGAAATAAGGAGGATATCTAATTGAATTTTTCACTAAGAAATGCACTCTATTGCTTTTGTATTATGCAGAATTATATGTAAAAATATTAATATAAGTATCAAAGGTTTTAGTGTCCTTTACCTCTGTGAAATTATAACTTTAGAAGAAAGTTTTGGTTCATAATGCAGTATGCTGCACATGCTGTACATGTCTATTCTCATTCTCCCTTACCTAGGAACTCTGTTTTACGCAGTGATATTGAAAAGGGTTGATCTGTTTTTAGCAGAGAATGAAATCTAAATAGTCTGGCTTTCATTATTAAAATGTACCATGTACTGGTTCAAAGGACTGTAGCAAGAAAGGTGGGAGATTGAGTTTCAGCACATGCAGCAAACTTAAACATCCTGGTGTGAGGGACTTTCTTCCAGTAATATGTATAAAGGCCATTGACCTTTTGGAATAGCTCTGGCTATTGCACTGATTCAGTGCGAAAGTTTTGTTATTCCGTGTAACATTTCTGACAAGTGACCACTGCTGGAAACTCCAGGTATAAAAAGTGCAAAAAGCCCTAAATTGGGCAATTATTTTTCAGATAGCCTTGAGTTTACTAATAGTTTATATCTTACAGGAAGTAAAAAAAAATAATGGGAGGAGGAAACTTTGCTTCAAAAATATAACATGTCCTAGAAGTCTCTCAGACCCTCATACTATCTTGTCTAGAAATGAGCCAAGCCCAGAGTAAGAAAGGCATTGGGAGAGGGAGTTTGGAAATGAAGTTGAACCAGAGAGCTTGGACTGTGAGCGTGCTGTGGGTGTCTGTGCAAGAAGTGTTCCAGTTTCCTTACAAGGGTGAACTTCTAATTTTTAAAGTGAATTATGCTGTGAAAGCATGATGATGGCTGCTAAACAAGAGCAAGCACASTACAGGAAAGGAGTTTTTGTCTCCTTAGTAACTTTTATTTTCCTGAGGAAAAAATACTAAGAAAAGGTATGTGTATTGCATTCTGCCATATTTACAGCATCTGTAGCTGATCATGTCACTGTGTTTCCAGACTGAATTGCACTCAGTTCTGTTGTCTCTCCTCCCTCATTTTATCATTTGTCATCAGTCTACTTAATAGTCTAGAATATTTCTTAAAAAAAGAAATAGAAACTCATTGGTGAATAAAGTTCCCAAACTATGCMATTACCAATATTAATGTATACATAAGTATATATTGTACAAATCCATAGATTTGTATAGAGAKGTGGTATATGGGGTATATGGTATATATGGAGAAAGTATACAACAATTAACAATTCATATAATGTAAAAACGTTGTAGTGGTTGAGAGAATTCTAAATCATGTATGTAATATATTGTAACCCTACTCCTGAAGGGTCTTTTTTGCCAAGGATGCACACAGATCATGTATATTGAATGATTTGGTGGCATTTTCTCTCTCTAAACTTGCACCGTATTCCTAGGAATGTCTTAGAGAACTGCACCAGAAATGAGCCAAGAATTTTCTTGCCTCTGTACAAACTGAATCCGAACTTCTGCAAATTTAATGTAGTTTTTACTTAATGCCCATTTAGTACAGGGTTTTCTTAATATAATTTCTTAGTGTTTAGTATATACTAGTTAAAATTCCGGTTAGTATTGTATATAATATTAGTGTACAGGTTTATCAGTGAATATTTCACTATGAAAAATCTGCAAAGAAAATACAGATCTATGTCTAATATGCATCTTTTCTGGTTTCACAGAAGAAGTTACAAAAAAAAAAAAATCCCAAGAAATCACTGAACAAGCAGAGTTTGGTCCATTGTTTACAAACAATTTTTCTCTAAAATGTAATGGAAGAATCTACTTCATATTTTTTTGCT